TACCATATTCTAATTCACTGAGATAGTGATTTGGTGGGTTTTTGTTAAATGTGGGCCAAAATCATCACAATTAAAAGACCCAACAGCTTAAACTACTTCAGTCTGTGTGTACTGAATTTATATAATACACGAGTTTTACTATTTGAGTTGAATTACCGAAATAAATGGACTTTTCCACAATATTCTATAATATTGAGATGCACCTGTAGTCAGACAGTTTGTCACTGTCAGTCTAGGAATGGAGAACATAACTATTTGTAGTCTTACTGTTTATGTGCTTTGCAGTGTAACGCATTTGTGTTCCATGGCATTTGGATTGTAACTGCTTTTAGACACAGAGAGACACACTAAGGACTGGCAAGTCAAAAAACAAAACAAAAAAATGAACCAGACCTGCTGCTGAAATGAAGACATGGGGCTTAAAGTGCCTGTTTTTTTTTTCAAACACAGCAAATCTTGATGATGACATAGAGACAAGGCTCAATATTGTTTTATTTCCTCAGTACATAACTGTGTTAATGCACCCTATCAGTAGATCAAACCAAAATGTGCTCAACTGGATCTTTATTGATTCAACTTGTTTCTCCATCCTCAGAAGATTTCCACACAAACAGACTTTTTGAATATTTAGAAAAAAGCAAAATTCTTTGAAAGTGGCATAGTTAGCCATAGCAAATGGTATAGATGTCAGTTTTTTTCCTCTATTTTGCTCTTTGGCTATTAAAGTAAGGTTTTTGTGTTAAAGAGTAAAAACAGATACTACTGTATATCCATTATAACACATCCATATTCTCTCATTTCTGCACATTTAGTGTTTAGTTCTTGCTAACACAATCACCTAACTATCAGCAGAGTGACATGACAAAAACTGAGAACTCTGTCAAGGAAATGACTAGGAGTCACTTTCAATAAAGTACTCACAAGTAATCGCTGCAAATCATTTGACTCATACTTGTGTGTTTTCTCCCTCTTTGACACTAAAACACCAAATAAAAACAGATGAACCATCTGAAAAAGTTGAATGCCTTAAGAGAGCCTGCCATTTTAATAGCACTGCTGCTGAAGAGATCATGCAGAACGTTGACTATTTCTTCATAAAAGTCTGGAGCAGCTTATTGCACCTTATACCAAAGTGAGAAGGACAAAGAATGCAGCAGAAGGATAGAATGGTATGACCAACCTGGTTAAAAAGACAACAGCAAAAACTGTAATTACTGAATTGTTTTTTGCTGGCTTTTTTTAAGTGGAGGCTAACCGCCTCTAAAGCTGGCTAGGAGTTGTGCTCAGATAATGTTGTGAAACAAAAAAATTCAACAAATACCAATAATCAGTTTAATTATTGTGGAGAGAGCCAGGCAACCTCCAGGCGCATCAGAAGGTATGACCCCATATGAAGGTATGAATCCACTAGCATTCTCATAGATTGTTACAGCGAACCGTATATATAAATATATATGTGTGCTTGTTCGGACTCAGAAAAAGGTAGAACTCGGACTCAGGCTTGACCAGGTAAATGTATTTTACTAACAGAACTGAGAAGTGGTCAGTATCGGTCACGTCAGCTGATCTCAGGGCAGCGGGGAGTGCTGGGATGACTGGACTGCTAGAGCTACAACCCAAGCTGGCTAAAGAAAAGCAGAGGATGAGAATGAGTAACAGGGATGCTATGGAAATGGCAATACTGATAGGTATACTGAGGACCTGAGGAGCAGAATTTACTGGCTCTAGGAAGGTGAGTGACATAAGCTGTGAACACAGTCCAGGGGGAGGTGTAGGAGCTGGCATAGGCGATCACTGGTCCGACGTGCAGTACTACCGGCGTGGTGAGGCTCAGGCTTGCAGCAGATGACAGAGCAGGTAGAAGGGCAGTGCGATCAAGGCTGACAGTTGAGATCCAGAGCCGCGCAGCAAGTCCCAGCAAAAGTTGGTCTCCTCATCCTGAGGAAAAGGTTCACAGTCCAGGCACCAAATGATGCTAACAAAATGCCAAAACCAGCAGAGGGTACACCAATCCACAGTAAGACAGTTCAAACAGAAAGCAGCCCGCAAAATTAAGAAGGGCATATAGTTCCTTAACACAAGTTCACAGTAAAACAAGTCAAACTGAAAGCGACCCTTCAAAAATAAGAAGGGCATTTAGTTCTTTAACACATGAAATCAGGTCCCACAACATAGAAGCAGTTCATACACCTAGAATCCTTGACGGAAAGCAAAGCACAATTACTTGTAGGATCACAAGAGATCATCTGGCAATGAGGACACACCAACACTCCCTTTAAGTACTAGTCTAGCAGTTGAGAGCAGGTGTGCCTCGCTGCCTAGAATGCATTCCCATCTATGTGGGGGCGGAGCTACTGTGACAGCCCGTGCCAGCTGATGAAGTGCTGGGGGTGGACAGGGCCACGGACGTAACATTGATGATTTTAAAGTCATTGCATTTGAGGCCAAGTAATGCTATTGTATATTGTGATGTGTTCCTAGGGTGTGTGTAAGGATATGATTTAAATATGAATGAAACACAAGTGTACATCCTACAATGTTTTACAGGAGAGAAGCTCAGAACAACAAGGACTAACGTGGTCTCACCAAATAACTTTCACCAGCTAGAATCAAAAACGCCTTGTTACTTTACAAATGAAAGAATTGTCCCAATAAGCTCCACACAGTTATTTATATAAATTTTAGATATAGGAAAGAGAGCACATTGGCATTTGATTAGTCCATTAGGTCAACTACCCTGGGTTGGGATATCAGATTCAGTTAACTAATGTAAAGAAAATTAAAGACAAAAACTAGGGTTTGACCCGACAATGACCATCTGTTTCTTTTGTAGTGTTAACTTAATGTAATGCACTTAATAAAAGGAAAAGGGAAAGCTTTGGTTTTTACATCCTGCTGTAATCCGTAATGCACCATAGCATGCACCTACAGGCATGTGACATGTGATGCCTAATAAATCAATAAGTAAAAAAAAAAAAAAAATTAAATAGAGATTAAAACCAGATGTCGCAGCCTCTGGACACAGACATTTTAAAACCCATATGCTTAACAGAAAAATGTCTCTTGTAAAGAATGTGGGTACAAGATAAAACAACCGGTCAACCATGTTCAGTGTCCCCCTTTTCAGTGGCATGTTAAATGCGTTTTTGCCGGACTACTATGAATGTGAATGTATGGTCACTGGAACCTAATGAGCAGTACACCCCATACTTCCCTTAGTAATCACTAAACAGTCAGTGGGGTTAACGCAGACCATCCTGCTTTGCTTTTCCACTGTATTATCTATCTGTTGGTCTCTGTTTAGAGGGAGGAGCTGCTTCTCTCTCCCCCCCATATTCCTGGTACTTGATTTTAGCACTTGAAGGGTGCTGAAATTTAACTTCCAGAATACACCTCCAAAGCAGGCGCACCATAGTGGAAACAAACACAGAACCCATGACAAGCGTTACTTTGTACAACATGCTTCATTTGGTTTCTGCAATGGAAAACCCAATTCCATCATATTGGACTGGTTCCATTATGTACTGAAATGGTGAGACAGCTTTTGCCTCTATTGTCATGTTTTAATATTGAGAGATCTCATCACACCCCCAGTATTTAGTGATCAAGAACGGTGGAGAAATAGGGCAAAAAGTCAACAAAATATAATAAACACCAAAATTCAAGGCAAGTGTGGCAGCACAAATGTACAAAAACAGTAAAATACATAGAAGAAAAAAAAACTTCCTAGCGTCTAATGCTAAATTACTGTACACACAGTATAGTGGACTGTATTGTCTAAATATGTCCTCACAAATCAGTTATGCCACTGCAATACTGTGTTGTGCAAAACAGTATCCTCATATGTCAGATGTGTCCTTTAATGCACAATGTCCTCACTTCAGTGTTTTAGTCATGTCCCCTAAAATCACATGTGATCCTTTAGTGCACAGCAATGACATTTTTGTGTGTTGTATACACACTGTCCTTACAATTCCCATGTGTGTAGCTCATTATTGAAGGCCTCATAATTCTGCATGGTATCAGGTCTTTATAGTTCAAGCTGTGTGAATTCAAACTTTGAAGTGAAATCTGTGCTGTATGGATCAAAACACATTTTGGTATTAACCACATCTTTGTAGAGCAAGTGGAAAGGGGTCCCTATAATGTTTGGGAAAGCTGTCCTTATAATACACAAAAACCTGTGTGTGTGTGTATGTACTTACAGTGGACAGTTAGCTGGACAGAAGCGTTGGTCATGCCCACTATGTTGGTGGCAGTGCAGGTTAGCAGGAAGTTGTTGTCGTCTCTGCTCACATTGACCAAAGTTATGTTTATGGAATGAATGGTGTTGTTGTCATAGACTTTAGCCTGGAGGGAGAGCATGATATAATAATAATAATAATAATAATAATAATGGTTAAATCTACCAGGCAGAAGTGTAGCAAGGGAGCAGGTATGTTCACTAAAGTAACTATATGTACATTTTAGTTAGCTAAATAGCCAGTACACTCATCTAGCAAAGGTAATGCTGTCAGAATTAGGCTGCATTTATGCAATGTTGTCCAAATGAAGAAAACACAACTCCAAACTAGAAGTCTTCACATATAGTTATCCCTGCTATTAGCCTTGTACTCACATCTTTTAAAGCACTTGTGACATATTTGGAGCATTTTTTTTTTCACATGGAAAACCAGATACAAATACACAGAGTACAGTCCGTTTAAATTAGCTGAATGGTCATTACAATAACTGCAGCAACGGTGACTTTTCAGTCATTCTGCTAACAGTCTGTTGACCCTTATGAAGTTGGAGACATTACTGGTGTTAAACAAAAAATGTGATATAAGATCAGAATTACTAGGAAGCTGACATGAATATTTTTTCCCAATAGACCTTCTTCACATCAGTAGGAAGAGCAGAGGTGTAATTGATAACACTCAGAGGGCTACATTCCATTTATGCAAATCATAGCTAGATCATGATATTGTGTGTGCTTGCTGGGTGGCATCGCTTAATGGAAATGTAATGGAACTTGGCCATTGTTAATGTTGTTAGCTACACCTGTGTTTTTTCTACTATGACAACTCAAAATGTCTGCTAGTCTATTGCACGTTGAGAAGGTAATTAATCCCCCAACACATTTAGCCCCTGATTTCCTATCTCAAAGCAAGTGTAATGATCAGGCCCAAATGGAATCGGTGCCTACAGAATTCTGACAACACCTCCACAGATTTTAAAAAGAAAGAAACTCAGAATGTAAGTGTGTGTTTGCTCCCAACTGCATGTGTGCAACAGTTGTGATTCATTCTCCAAGCCAAGGATTGGACATTCACATCTACTTCACACCTAGACTGGCTAGTTGCACATCTCTGTCTAGCACTTCTTTTTCATTCCTTACACAATAACCTGCGACAGATCTCATGTCAACCTTCTGGAGCTGTTCCCCTCAGTGGCCTATGTGAACAACCCAGGTTAATGTCTTAACAAAAATATTAATGTCTCCTGATGAAAACACACTATCTCACCCCCCCCCCCCCCTTGTTTTAATTTTTTATTTACATGGTCATCAGTCAGTAGCCTACATCTAAAGACACTGAACTTTCTATTTCAGTGTCATACTTTAATGCTGGTGAGCTGAAAAAAACAACACCTCCACAGATTTTTAATGCTGGTGTAATTTCCAACAAATGTTCACACTTCGAGTGTCGTTTGGAGTTACTTGGAAGTGGATGTTCTGAAAATTGTTAATGGCTCACTCCGGTCAGGGATCTCTCCAAAAATCACTGAATCAATCTGTACTAATTAGTTAGAAATCTTGGTGTCAAAACTCACTCAGACCTGAGCTTCACCAGTCACATCAAGGCCATAATTAAATCAGCTTTTTATCAGCTAAAACAAACAGCAAGACTCAGAGGTCTCATGTTCAGACAAGATTTAGAGAAACTCATTCATGCCTTCATCTCCAGCAGGCTGGGCTGTGTAACAGTCTTTTGCCCAGTCTTCACAAAAAGACTGTTGGACAACTTCAGCTCACTCAGAACGCTGCTGAGTTTTAACCAGAACCAGCAGAACTGAACATGTCCCTCCTGTTCTTATATCCTTACACTGGCTACCAGTTACCTACAAAATCAATTTTAAAGTGCTTCTGCTAAGATTATAAATCACTTAGTGGTATCATGGGACAAATTTCTGGTCTTCTTGAAGAATCCAAACCCAGCAGGGCTGATCCTTAAGAAGCAGTCAGCTAGTAGAACCTTGGTTAGAACCAAACAGGTTGAAGCTGCCTTTAGCTCCTGTGCTGCACACAGATGGCACCAAATTCCTGACGACCTTAAATGTGCCCCAACTCTGCTATTTTCAAGTGTCAGCTCAACTGTGCCTTTGTTTGACTGGCCTCTGCACTGTACTTTCTGCACTGTAACTGCTTTCTGTTTCAGACCATTTTGTGTTTTTGTTTTTATTTGATATATTTTCTCATTTTAATAATGTTTTATGTTTTTACACTGTCTGTTTACAACACTTGCTTCCAGACTAAACTGTCAATTTGCCCCGCATGATGTCATCTCACCAGCTACAGCTAACTAATAAACTAAGACAACACACTGCTCCAACACTGATAAGCTGTACAGTGGTTTGTTTCTGTTTATGGGGTAACTTCATGTGTGAAAAGCAGCATTCATAAGTCTAGCTGTTGAATGTCAGTATATATTGTATGTGTGTGTATGTGTGTCCTTCCTACTTCTTGTGCAGTGATGGAGTGCAAGCCGTTGACAGGCCAGTCCACCTCAGGCAACGGGGATCCCGAACCGTTACAGATTGCTGTTACTCGATCACCCTCGACAACTGTGAGGTTGCTATGGCTGACGTTGATATCAGGCAAGTCTATGTGAGAGAAAAAGTCAGAGAAGATACAACTACTGTCAGAAAGGTGGCTGAAAGGACCCAAATGCAGATGCCAGAGACACACCAGTACAGTACTTTAAAAAGCTTTATATCAGAATACAGCAGTGGACACTAATGAAACAAATCAGTTAAATATTGATCTTAATTCACTAGCAGAGAGACCTCCAGCCTACAGCAGTTGGTGCTCCCAGGTATATAAATATAGAATATGTGTATGTACACAGCTCAGATGGAAATTACCAGATACATATATACAAAAGTATATTTACAAGGTACTGCACTGAGGATTGTCGTCCTGTCATACAGTCGTGGATTTAGTATTCATCAGAGTGATGCCCCAGCTGAAGAAACTGTCCTTATGCTTGGTTGTCTTGGCATACAGTGACCTGTAGCACTGTCCAGCAGAGGGGAGGAGTTCCTGAGCTGATGCAGGAAGTACATTCTCTGCTGTGCCTTCTTGGTGATGGTGCTGATGTTGGGGGGGGGGCCTCCTCCTGAAGTCCACTGTTATCTCTGCTGTTCTGATTGTGTTCAGTTCCACAGCAGAGGGCCAGCTGTTCAACCTGCCATCTGTAGACTGACTCGTCACAGTCTGACCGATGACCTTCAGGAGTCTAACAGAGGGTGTCACTGGTGTAGAGGGAAAACAGCAGTGGCAACAGCACACATCACTGGGGAGTGATTGTGCTGATAATCTAGGTGCTGGATGTGGTTTTCTCCAAACTCACTTGTTGCTTCCCACCTGTCGGAAAGCTGCTGATAGACTGACAGGTGTGCGCAGTGAGCTGGGTCAGTTTAGAGTGGAGGATGTCCAGGATGATGGTGTTGAAGGCCAAGCTGAAGTCCACAAAGACGGTCTTCCACAGCAGGGGGAATGGTTTCCTATAGCCAGTGATGTTTTGTAGGCTTCTGGTTTTTCAGCTTTTAGGAGTAGTTCCTCTTTGCTACTCTGATCTCTCTTGTCATTGTGTTGCTGGTCTGCCTGGATAGTTTCTGGGTGAGATTTGCTCTGTTAAAAACCCCTAGAACAATGAATGAGGAGTTAGGATGTTTCTATTCCATCCTAATTATCTGTTCGGCCAGGTGCTGTACTGTGCTAGCGTGGGCCTACCATGATATATACACTAAGACCAAAATGAATGATGAAAATTCTCTGCGAGAATAAAATGGTATGTAGTTGAAAAAAGTCTTTAAGTCCATGTTGCAAGTTTTTCTAACTTAAACCAACCTTCATTTATGCAGGAGCAGATTTCGCCTCCACTTGTTTTCCCGGACAGCTTTGTTATGTGATCTGCTCTGTGTACTTGGAAACCCAGTATTTGTATTGCGCTGCCCAAGATGGAGTCGCTGAGCCAAGTCTCCATGAATAATAGCAGAGTGTGAGAAGTCAGAGTTAGTCTGGTTGATGAGGAGTTCATCCATTTTGTTGGCTAGAGAGTGGAGATTCGCTAGTTAGATAACATAACCAGGGCCCCCAATCTCTTCCCTTGCCAGTGTTTTCTCCAAGTCCCATAGAGAGCTGCTGCCCCTCTGAGCAGAATGTCCACACATATTTTTGCATTAGAAAAAAGAGTTACTAGCCACACTGTGTGGTCCAGTTCTTCTGACAAGCTTGTCAGTATGGTTTGTGCAGAATTCGAGTGACCCTCTGATGATCTAAATACTGTTAAACCATTGTGTGTGTCAAAGCTTGATAAATCTTATTCCTAACTATTAAAATGTATCAGTGAGTCACACTGTGGTACTGGGTGACATGTTCCTTTATAATCAAAAATACACATAAAAATTACTGTATGTATTCCTCTGCTGCAGATTACAGTCCCCTTTATTGGCCAAGTATGTTACACACAAGGAACTTGTGCCATCTGCGGTGCCAATTCAAGTGATGGCTCTAACCATCAGGGGGCAACGGGGGGTGTTCAGCGTCTTGCCCAAGGATATGTCGACACATGGACTGCAGGCACTGAGATTTGAACCTTCAACCTTCTGTTTGGGAGACGACTGCTCTATCCACCACACCACAGTCGCCTCCCGAAATGCAGTATTTCCTCCTGTTTGTTTGATAAAATTTCAGGAAATTACTGAGCCCTTTAAATAAATGAAACTAAGCTAAGTTTTATGTTTTCAGTAGGAACCAATGAACTTGGAGCTGAGAGCCAGAAACAGAGTAGCGGAGTCGGAAAATATTGTGAGATACACTAACACATTTTTGGTTTTGGTTTTATTGTTTGTTTATAGTGAGTTTTAGGTGTGTATGATTGTGTGATCATTTTCAAACCCTAAACTTACCACAGCTGCTAATGTTCATATCATGCAGCAGTATCTTCCTGTAGCCATCAGCACAGTATAACTGTTGGTTGCTTAGCCCCGCCTCTCCCCTCTGTTGCCATAGCTGCAGCCAGCGGATCTCACAGCCACAGGCAAACACCACGTCCCCTAAATGACTGCAGAGAGAAAGAGAGCGAGAGAGAGAGAGAGAGGAATATGTAGAAATCAATTTTCATGCTCTCCAGAGGAACAAAGCATGTTTGTTATGTCAAAACTCCTTAGGAAGATACAGCACAACAACAGCAGCATACATGTTTAACCATGACCTTCAAAGCAACACTTGTTAGGTAAAACACTCGACTGTCCACACTGAGACAGCTGAGTGCTTCGTAGGGGCCGCGTCTCTCAGTGGGCCCTGAGTGTTCTGGCCCAAAATATAGGCTGTAGAACTGGGCAGGTTGAAAGAATAAGAGAGAAATATGCACACAGATAAAAGGGAATTATAGCACTTCATCACACACACACACAACAATCCTGGACTCCAAAGAAGATCACAGATTGGTGATTATGTAATGCTGCAATGCAAGGGAGGTATTTTTCTGTGAAAAGTGTATTTAATTAACTCTGCTGAACTGAGTCAGCCTGGTAACCATTCTGAAATACACTTATTATTCGGCTGGTATTTTATCTATTTTTGGAACCTTCTGATAGAAATAATAATAATAAATATGTATAACTAACATTGTTACCTTTTAAAACAAAGGGGCAAGTGAATTATAACAAGAAGAATTAGAACTGGGCACTAAAATTAGACAAATTACAAATAAAAAAAATCAGAGTAAGAACAAAAAAATTTATTAAAAAAATTAAAACAGAAACCATAAACCACAAACAAGGAACCATAAATGAAAAGAAAAACAACAAGAAAAAAGATTGGACAGTGTACCTACTTAAAGAAAGAAAATGTTGTTGAATTGTTTGGCACTTCAAAGTAATACACCAAATTGATTTAGCTTTGCAGTGTTGTTGCTTATTAAGTTGATAATATCTGGACTGATAACCAAAACCTCCCTACTGTAAACACCAACACAGTTTCTGCATTGTAGTAGTTTAATGGCACTAGGGTACTCCTATGGAGTCACTCACTTCCATTTGCAGTTTCTGCTGTATATGTAAAGCACATACATAAAGACAAAGTCCAGGATGACCTGTAATTTTGTACCTTTAAACTCAAACAAAGCTGAAGTTGTTGTACTTGGGCCTGAAAATCTTAGAAACATGCTATCTAATATAGTTACTCTAGATGACATAGGCCTCCAGTACTGCTGTGAGGAACCTTGGAGTCATTTTTGACCAGGACATGTCCTTTAAATCACACATAAACCAAGTCTCTAGACCTGCCTTCTTTCACCTGTGCAATATCACCCAAATTAGGAACATGCCCTTTGCCGTTCAGGTCATCAACCTGGACCTTAACGAAACTCAAATATTCATGTTAATTATCTGCAAAGTATTCACAGAAATGTATAATGTTCAGTGAACTGCACTCTCACTGCACAACAAATGTGCCTGCATTCAAAAACAAACTGCAAACGTCTATATCTTGTCTTTTGCAGTGTGGGCGTTTTCCCCGTGTTTCTCTTTTTTACAGTAGCTGTTTGCACATTTTTCTATTTGTTGCATGTTACTTCTTGCTATATTCATTTTAACAAAGTAAATTGAGTTTAACTGTATTGAAATATGTTATACAAAGAAAATTCCCCACTGAGACAGACAGTCAATATTTGTCACTGGTGTGACTAAACAAACTTAGTTTCTGCTGGGGAGTTGTGCTGACCAAGACAACATGCAGACAGAGGCCAAGGTTAGAAAAAGTTTACTTATTAGACACTATCTCAGATGCCTCAATAGTAAAAAGATCCAGTGTCCAATCCAGGTAGGAGCAGTCCCGCCTTAGCTTGGCTGTCGCATGAGGATGACCTCCCGTTTCTCACAGCCTCAGTGTGTCTCCAGTGGTGGAGGGTTAAAGTAGATCACAAACTGTCCCAACCTCTTGAGTGTATATGGTATAGAATGAGATTATTTAAACTCTGCCTCCCACTAGGAATGGGTCAAGCTAACCAAATACACTAGAAAGTCACTTTTGGCTTTTCCCGTTTAGGGGTCGCCACAGTGAATCGTCACACTGACGACTCGTATGTTGACATTTGGCACGTGTTTTATGCCAGATGTCCTTCCTGACGCAACCCTGATTCGAACCCGGGCCACAGCGGTAAGAATGCTGCGCCTTAAGCACTAGCCTACCAGGGACAGCTGTTCACCAAATACACTACAACTAAATATCCCTGTAAGGCACCAAAAATATCAAACCAAAAAAATGAAAACACAGAGGAAGGGCTTTTTCCTATTCTGTGCATAGCAACTATCAGTCTCTGACACTTTTAGAGTCACTGTATGGACCTGCCTGATCTACTGGTGACAGCCATTTGAAACCAATATGAAGTGGAGACTTGACTAGACGAGGAGTGAACCATTCGTTCACCTCTCCATTTTCCCATGAAGAATGTTCCCCTACAATGCAGCGACAGGCAAGTGCAGCATGCGACAAGCCTCGTCTTCTCCTGTTCGCCTCATGGCTCCAGCGAAATGTCTTCTGTCCCCCTGGTTTGTACTGGCTCCTTGGGTGCAACCCAGCTGGAGGCCAGTATTACACTGAAAACTGTGACCCATCAGATTTTGTGACCACAGAGGCGCTGTTGTAAAACTTTAGTATTTGTTGTTTTGGCAACGAACCAGAAGATGTGTATGTAAACGGTGTAAACTAGTCCAAGTGTAGCCCTATTGCTTCTGGTTTTACTGGCGTGATTGGACTGCTACTGTTTGCCCAGTCCATGTGACCCATGGCTATACAGAGTAGGAGTGAAGATTATTGCTTTCTATCAAGAAAGAGACCATTAACTTTGGTTGATCATGTTTATCACTGCAGGCATGGCATATGTTAGTGTCAAGAAAATGACATGTTACTTACTGTACATACAGTAAGGACATATTAAAGACTATTTGATGAAACAGCTCACTGGGTGTGTGCAAAACAATTATGTCAATCACCAACAACATGTTTTCTGCTGGTGTGTCAACCTCTCCTCTTCATTTAGACAAATGTATTCAAGTACAGGATCAGCACAGGACCAACAAAACACACGTCACCATTTCCCATCAGAACACGTGACTTTATGTACCTGTACAATAACTGATTAAAACATGGAAATCATTGTTTTTAAGCTCTGTCTTCCTCTTGTAATCATTTTGTACACATTTGTGATCATCACAGTGTCAGGTCTGCTCGACGCCACCTGCCCCTCTGCCCTTTTTTTCCCTTTCTCCTTTTCTCTCTTGCAGCTCCTGGCTCTGGTGGTGTACACAGCTGGGTCACAGCCACCTGATCAGCAGCTCCCAAGGTGCGACATGGCTGAGGCAAATCACCTAATTACCCTCTCCCTGTTTTAGGTGCAGACAAATGCTTGCTCATTGCCAGTATGTTGAGAATCTCATCTCTACGCTTGGCTTTGCTTCTACTCTCTGAGAGACATCCAGTACCTGTTTTCTCTCCATTCGCTCAATCTCAACGATGGCACCCACTGGCCTCATCCCTGCTCTGGCGTTGTCACTCATCCTACCTTTGTCTCCACTGCCGTCACTCCACCTCAGCAGCCTGACCCTGACCCAACCACGTCAGCTGAGTTTACATTTGTTTTGCTCCAGCCTGCTTCTTTTTTTTTTCTCTGTAATAAAGACTTGTGTCAGCATCGCCGGTGTTTGCCATCTGAGTCCTGCCTGTTGCTTACTCGGCTCCTAGAGTGACTAGCCGTAACACACGGAGCCAGTACTACAGAAGTCACCATTTCAAACGGGTCATACACATTCTTCTTCTGGCTCACTGCCGACACAACAAATGATAAAAATGCACAACAACAACAGCTTAGAGGAGACACAAAGTTAATGACATACAGTGCCTTGCGAAAGTATTCGGCCCCCTTGAACTTTGCGACCTTTTGCCACATTTCAGGCTTCAAACATACAGATATAAAACTGTAATTTTTTGTGAAGAATCAACAACAAGTGGGACACAATCATGAAGTGGAACGAAATTTATTGGATATTTCAAACGTTTTTAACAAATAAAAAACTGAAAAATTGGGCGTGCAAAATTATTCAGCCCCTTTACTTTCAGTGCAGCAAACTCTCTCCAGAAGTTCAGTGAGGATCTCTGAATGATCCAATGTTGACCTAAATGACTAATGATGATAAATAGAATCCACCTGTGTGTAATCAAGTCTCCGTATAAATGCACCTGCACTGTGATAGTCTCAGAGGTCCGTTTAAAGCGCAGAGAGCATCATGAAGAACAAGGAACACACCAGGCAGGTCCGAGATACTGTTGTGGAGAAGTTTAAAGCCGGATTTGGATACAAAAAGATTTCCCAAGCTTTAAACATCCCAAGGAGCACTGTGCAAGCGATAATATTGAAATGGAAGGAGTATCAGACCACTGCAAATCTACCAAGACCTGGCCGTCCCTCTAAACTTTCAGCTCATACAAGGAGAAGACTGATCAGAGATGCAGCCAAGAGGCCCATGATCACTCTGGATGAACTGCAGAGATCTACAGCTGAGGTGGGAGACTCTGTCCATAGGACAACAATCAGTCGTATACTGCACAAATCTGGCCTTTATGGAAGAGTGGCAAGAAGAAAGCCATTTCTTAAAGATATCCATAAAAAGTGTTGTTTAAAGTTTGCCACAAGCCACCTGGGAGACACACCAAACATGTGGAAGAAGGTGCTCTGGTCAGATGAAACCAAAATCGAACTTTTTGGCAACAATGCAAAACGTTATGTTTGGCGTAAAAGCAACACAGCTCATCACCCTGAACACACCATCCGCACTGTCAAACATGGTGGTGGCAGCATCATGGTTTGGGCCTGCTTTTCTTCAGCAGGGACAGGGAAGATGGTTAAAATTGATGGGAAGATGGCTGGAGCCAAATACAGGACCATTCTGGAAGGAAACCTGATGGAGTCTGCAAACGACCTGAGACTGGGACGGAGATTTGTCTTCCACCAAGACACTGATCCAAAACATAAAGCAAAATCTACAATGGAATGGTTCAAAACTA